TGTAATGCAAAATCAATCTGCAGCTTTAAAAAAAAAAAAAAAAAGCCATTTATTTATTTATTAAGGGGCTGGAAAGGAAATTCAAACGTATTTCTATGAAATATAGAAGGCCTGTGGCTTTAAGCCCTTCTTATCAAGATTACACTTCTGATTTATTTCATTTAAGTTTGTAATAGTAACATTATAATAGTTACAAATGTAATAATAACATTCCAATATTAACTAATGTAATGATAACAACATCTAGACAACAGCATGCCGTAACTACTTAAATAAATCACACCACTATCTAAAATAAATATAAATTCACATATAAAAAAACTCTTGCTACACCAGGTTAAAATTTTGACTTTAAATATACAGAAACAAAGAAAGGAAAAAAAAAAAAAAAGTATTTGTCAGGTTTCTTTTCTTTTATTACTTACAATAGGAGGTGAAATAAGTCTTGTTTAAAGGTAACACTAAAAACATAGGAGTTAAATCTTAACCACTTGCCGTCCGGACCAATTTCTTACTATTTACACACATGATCAAATCAGAATGTTTGGCTAGAAAACAGCTTATAACCTCCAAATTATATATTTTCTGAAAGCAGAGGCCCTGTAGAATAGGAAAATGGTAGTTGCAATTTTTTATGTCGCATGGTATTTGCGGAAAATGTTTATCAAACAATAGTTTTAGGAAAAAATACACTAAATGAAATGTAGTGCACCGAAACAGAATATAATACTCACTTTTTCGCTAAAATATAAAAGACGGGTAAATAGGTACCAAACATGTCAAGCCTTAAAATTGTGTTCGCCTGTGAAGCCGCAAAAAAACTACAATAGCCCAAATTTCACATAAGCGATGCTTTAAAAGCTTCTACCGCTGATCACTTTAGTGTTACCAGTGATTGATGGGCCTAGAATTATTGCTCTCACTTCAACATTTGCAGCGATATGTAACATGTGTGGCGCAATTTTCGTTTTTGAACAAAGGCGCAACCTACGCGTGTTTGCGTTGTATGTGCATGCACGTGGGGGGGGGAACGTTAAAAAATGTCTTGCCATTTTATTTATATGTTTAATTTTTTTGTTTCTATTTGTTATTTTACACTTAACTTTACTGCTATCACATAGGGGGCTTATGAGCCCCTTATGTAATAGCAAATAGGATGTGACAGGTCCTCTTTATGGAGACATCAGCGATCTTTCAGACCCCTAATGTCACCTAGGGACCCCAAAGAAGCTGTGAAGGCAGAGATCTGCTTCCCCAGCTCCATCTCCTGGCTCTTAAGAGCTTGAGAATGTGAACAGTGACACCGGAAGTGGTGTAATACACATCACTTCCGGGTCCAGTGATTGGAGGAGAGATCAGCAGCTGGAAGTTTGCTGATCTTCCTCCGATCTGTCAAAGGAGACCCGCTGTCTAGGAATAAAATATAAACTTTATTTAACATTATAAAAAACACTTAAGGCCTCTTCACACCAAACCCGTTTTTTCCATGGATGCCAACGGAAGGTAACCTAAAAAATGCACGGGTGTTAAAGGGGACCATTCACACCGATCTGTTCCGTTGCATTGTGCCGGGGAAAAAAAGTAAAGCATGCTCTACTTTTTTCAGTGCAATGTAACAACGCAAAAAAAAAAAATGGAAGTAAATCGCAATACAGAAGTAAAAATAATAATAACAAAAAATACACAGGAGGTCTGTCAACTTAAGACACGTTAATTAAAATAAAGATTGGCAAAAAAAAAGTGCAATGCAACGGAGGCTGAATTGCAAGTCAACTGACCTCGGATTTTAGTGTGATTGGGCCCTAAGGGCTCGTTCGAACCTAGTGCGTTGAGCTTCTTTGATTTGCACTCGTCAATGCAGGCTCAACGCAAGGATCCAGTAAATACTACTGGTGTCTATGTGCCCAGTCCACACCAAAGCATTTTGTTGGTGTGCGTAGGAGGAAAATGTAGACATACTGCATGTTTTTCTTTTTTTTTGCATTGCCACATACAAAAACGCAATACAACCCGTCAATGCGTCGCACCACATAGAGTTACAAATAGTATTTAAAAAAAAAAAAGGAAAAAAGTAAGCATTGCAATGCATTTCAACAGTGCACTGCAGTGCTTGACAGCAAATGTTCCCAGCACACACAAACACATGGCGTGTGTTGAGCGCACAATAACGAGCCCTTATAAACGTTCTTGCCCCGTAGTCCAAACTTAATGCCATGGACTGGCCACAGGTCCAGTTTTGTCTGAAAGTGGCTGCTTAGCCCTGTGCAGATTCATTCAAATGTATTACTTACATAAGATATTGCTTCTGGATGTATATAGTAATGCTGGAGGTGCAGTCCTATATTGTATCGTGCATGCTATAACTTTACGTTTACAATAGTTTTTTCTAGCATAAATGTACTTTAAAGTGTGTGTGTGTGTGTGTGTGTATATATATTATATATACACACACACACACACCTGTATAATTATATATATTTTTTGTTGCAGTGCGTGGCAATGCCATGGTGTCATTTGGCCTTTTAGTCACCCAGGACTCTCAGCCAAAGGGGGCTGAGCAATTCCAGAAAATGCAAACTTTTACTGGGAAAGAGCTGGCGTTGCAGTTCTTCCGGATTTGGCTTGAGTTCCTGGAACTGGGAGATTTCAAAGAGCACTGGGAGGGATGGAAATCTCCATTCCTGGGTCCGGACCTGCACCGAGTGGTTGTGCACCTGCGCACAGCCATTATGAAGAGAATGCTGTCTAATGTTCAGGGCTCCACCTGGGAGGCAGGAAAACTCCACCCAGGAGTCAGAGTGGAGTCCAATGCAGCAGGGTGCTGCAGGTTAGAAAAACCAAGTGGTGCAGTTTAGCACAAGACTGAGACTGTCCGGAGGAACAGACAGTGGCATGAGGTCTAAGGCCGGAGCAGAGGTGCTGCAAATGCAAAGCTAGGAGGCTGGATGTGCATGTGTTCCTGTGCAAGAGATGCTAAAGAAGGCCAGCGATCGTAATCACATTATTCTGTGAACTTTCATTTAATAAAAGTGGGCAAGGAACCCCTAAAAGAAGCCATAAGCGAGTGGATGCGTCCTTAATGCGCTACCATTGGAAGCTAAATCTCACAAATTATATATATTATATATATAATTTTATCGTAATATAATATGTCTAAATATATTTTTCATATTTAATGGTCCGTTACCTTGTTATTTTCTTCCTCTACCCAATGTTATTAATCCTTTCCAGTTCCCTTTGTGGACTATAGAAGACCTCCCCCTTACGTTATAGGGCAGGAGAGAAGGAGAAGCATAAACAAATATGGATGTTGCCATCGTTGACCCCTCTTTCTAACAATATTAATTGC